GAGAGAGAGAGAGAGAGAGAAATTGTTGAACATGGTTCTGGTGATTATGCATCTGCTGATTAGGATCAAAAGAATATGCATTTGTTGATTGTTGAACATGGTTCTGGTTCTTCTTGTGTAAAATTGGCTTGATTGTTGTCATGTGTGAGATTTGGGAATTCTAGAGAGAAAAACAAATAGAAGAAGACCAAAAGAGATGGATGAGCGTATCTGGTATCGTTCTGTCCAAAGCTAAAGAGCAGGTTTCTTTGATGGTGAGGGCGGAAAGTAGAGGTTCTTTGATGGAGAGAGCAACAACTGTGTTTTGGGAAAATTAGGGTAAAGAGGCAATTTTTGCTTTTGGGGGAAGGAGAGAGAGAGAGGTTAGGGCTTCCTGCTTGGTTTATGAGAGAAGGGGGAAGGAGAGAGAGAGAGTGGGTAGGGCTTCTTGTTTGTTTTATGAGAGAAGGCAATTTTTAGTGGGAGATACAGAGGAATTTTTAACGAGATGCACGCGAAAGATTTTTCATATAGATTATTCGTCAAGGCGCGTAATAGATTTTTCACCCTTCACCTCACGTAATGGATTTCATGAGTTTTGGGGAAATCTCGTGTAATGTATTTTTCATTTTCTTACTATTAAAATGTACGGAAATGTCATATTTTTTTGTAATTTATTTTCATGTAATAGATTTCTTGGTACCCAAACGCCCTTTTAAGTTCTTCGATTTTTTCAAAAGATCTTTGAAAAATCGTGTTTTTTTAATGGAACAGATATAAATCCGTACTGTACCTTTTTTCAGAAAAAGCTTTTCAAAAAAGTTACTTCCTTAGAACTTTGTTTCTTCATTAACTTAAGGTCTGTTGGATACACCTATAATATTAAGATATTTTAGAATATTATAAGATCTTAGGATATTTTAGAATATTACAAGCTCTTGAACTTTTCTAATGTGATTTAATGTGATTTAGTCAAAGAGGTGTTTGATAACACCAAAATATATTAGATATGATTTGAAATCATAATCCCAAAGAAAACATGTCTGATTGGAATTTTAGAAAATTTGGAAAAACACAAACTTGTGGGTTAGCGTTTTTCCGTCAAAATATTGGTGCGGGAAGGTTCCTCTCTCATGTAAAAAATTAGCCTCCCTCCTTTTTATATAGGGTGGAAGGTCGGATGCTATTTCTACCTTCTATCCGTATCGCTAAACTCTCTCTCTCTAAACTTATGCGAGCTATCTATATCTTCTCTCTTTTCTCTGGTTTCTTGGCTCAAATCTTTTTCTCGCTGCATATTTTTTTTGGAGAATAAGTTTGGTAGGTGAGGTGAGGATGCGCAGGAATGGTTGTTGCTTTGGACTTAGAGAACGCGTCTCTTTGCATATTTTCTTGGAGAATAAGTTTGGTGGATGAGGTGAGGATGCTTTAATGGTTAACGGTTGCTGCTTTGGACTTAGAGAACGCGTTGAGGTATCCTCTCTCTCGGGGTTCGTTTAAATTTTCTTTTCTATTCTGCATATCTTTGGTTCTTGGGTAGCTTGGTTATAATTTACGGAGATTTATGTCGAGTTTTTAAGAGATGCCCAGTCATTGGCTACGAAGGGCAATTACCATGATATTGAAATAAGTTGTTGATCAAATTTATGTTTTCTATTTATATGTGTGGTTTTTTTTTGCCATTATATTGCTCCTATTGGAGTATTAGCGTAAATCTCTAATGCTTGTACCCTTCTTTTTGAAACTGGAAGTAAAGTTGCCTGGTTGTGTGATGCTTGTTACTGTGTGATGATTTGATGAAAATAGAAATTTAATGGAGTTGTGATTCTTGAGAATGACGACTATGTCTAAGGCTTATCACATCAAAACACTAATCTAGGGAAGGATAAATAAGAAAGATAGATGAACTATGTTTTAGTCTAATTGAATTAATTTGTACAATTATTAACCATCAATTAAAATGCTAAAACTTTCTTTAGTGTTTAGAGAGAACAATAATAACCTGAATGCATTCTATGGTTATGGGACATGAGGCTACCCTCCTTGGTGAACTTTGATTTCCACCGGAATCCTAGCCAAGCTATGAGCTAGGCATGCTAGTCCTACAGTAGGCATTATCCAGTATGATAATTTTACGTTTCTTGATATTGAGATAAGTTTTTAAAGCCCTCTATGGCTTTTTATTTGGTTATAAGAAACTCATTTATGAAATTGATGGGATTTGTTTATATCTGTTGCAAGGAACCTTTCTGTGTAAATTTGAATTTGACCGAAATTTTTGGTTTTTTAATATAGTCTTAAGTGTTTCAATTTTTAGTATATGTTGTTACATGTTTTGATAATTTATTTCCTAGATTGTTTGTTCATCATATGTATGGCATTCAACTCTGAACCGTGAGGCTCTCTTATTTCACCTTATTGAAAACTCAAGTTTTTCTTATGCTGATAACCATTGTCTTCATGCTCATTTTTGCCTTGTCTTATTCCGTAAATTTTTATTTTTAATTAAAATTGGGGCCATGGCCAAGGCAAGTTAGATCACAAGAGATAAACATATTGGATGATCTCCTCGTCGTTCCTTGGCATGGTAAAGGTTGACAATGTCTAATTATTGTATGCTTCCATATGTTTTTTGACATATTGAAAATTAAAAAATTAGGTGTCAAAATATGATGTCTACTGCTCCTGAATCCCAAGACCGTCATAGGGCTGATTGGACGCAAGGATGTGATGTTTTTTTGGTTGAACCTCTCAAACATTAACATGATCTTGGCAAGCGATGTGATACTTGATGGACTAAAGAAGCTTGGAAAACTATTATGGGCAAATTTAATAGTAACTTTAATACATCATTCACTGTCCAACAGTTAAAAGAGTTGTAATAACCAATTATTAAAACAATATAAGACTGTCAAGAAACTCCGTGGACAAAGTAGCTTTGGATGGAATGATACATTGCAGCTCGTGTTCGCTTCAGTACAAGTTTGGGAGGATTATATCAAAGTAAGTTTATTTTGTATAAATTTATTTATTCTTGATTGTTTTTTCTGTTATAATTTATTTATTTACTCAAGTTTTAAAATTTTTATAATGAATAACAAAGGCTACTGTGATATACAGGCAAACCCAGAAGCAAAACAATTTAGAAATAAGCTTTTTACATTGTACGATGTATTGGATGAGATATTCGAAGGTAGATTGTAATATATGCTTCTATATGACTTGCTACTATTTTTATTTTATTTTCAATACTTCTAAAAAATCCCGAATACCACTGCACAAGGAAGAGTCACATCGTCAACTATCCAACCAGAGATTTTGAGGCTGTACACTCCCCACCTGAGTTCCTGCTACAATCCCTTGATTTAAACTTGACACTAATGAAGGAGGAAGTTTCTCTAGGCTACCACCATATTAACAACCACTCACCATAAAAGGAAGGCCATTGTATTGCAAATGCGTTGGATAAGATAATCGAGTGAAACACCAACTGTGATTAAAAGAAGACGCTGCAAGCTACTAAAGAAGATTGTTCTTATGGCACTTGCTTCGAGGAATTGCAGGAGTTCTAAGAAATTTCTGTAGTCGAGATGGTGGAAGTAGTAGAAATTTTGAAGGATGAAAACAATAGAGTTACATTTAAGAAACTAGAAGGATTAATTTGTGAGGCCTGGTTATGCTAAAAATTAGTGAATAGTATAACCTAGTTATTTTCTAGATGATATGAACATAATATTTTGAACACCATCGAACTTGGTTCAATTTTATTTATAATAATTTTGTGATTAGTTGGATTTGAGATTCGTTGGTTACATTTGTAATTGATTTGCTAGAAATGTTGGAAGTTATACTTGTTTTGTCCGCCTTGTTATTATACAATGATATAATTAGATTATTGCAAGAAGGTCTCATGTTTATGAGATGATTTATTAATTAGGGTGAACGTAATTCAGAATTGATAAATGGTATCCATGGACTACGAATCTCAAGAAGAAAGCCAAAAGGAGGATATGCTAGTAGTTGCTGTTGCTGCTGCATGGTATTATATAACATATTATGTCCTTAAGAATCTTTGTAATACCTTACGAATCGAAAATCTCATCCAAGATTCTAAGTATATTAGTATCGAGGAACAAGTGGGAATGTTTCTATACACCATAGCTCATAACTCAGGCAATCACATAATACAAGAACGATTTTAACACTATGGTCAAACAGTTAGTTGGTACTTTGGTCGTGTTCTTAAAACTATGTATACATTAGCACCTCGTTACATCTGTCTCTCATCAACAAATACTCCTCCAGAGATTGGTTATAGTGACAGTTATTTCCCCTTCTTCAAGGTACAATTTATGTAACATTATTTTTCAAAATTATATTTATTATAATTAGCATCTCACCAAAATTTTTTCTTATGAAGGATTGTATTGGAGCAATTGATGGAATTCACATCCTTGTGACAATCGATGCTGAGAGCTAAGCCCAAATCGCAATCGAAAAGGGTTGCTTTCCCAGAACGTTATGACAACATGTTCATTCAATCTTTTATTCCATATGTTTATGCTGGGCAGGAGGGTTCTGTTGCTGATTCTACAGTTCTCCACGCAACTTTACAAATGGCTTTCATGTTCTCCAAGGTACTTCTAACTCGTGATTTAATTAATAATATTTATGTCATTGATCATTTAGATCTTTTCAAATAAGCTAGGTAAATACTACCTAGTCAATGCAGGTTATGCGAATACCCCAAATTTTATCGCCCAATGGAGTTTCATTACCACCTCAAAGAATATGGACATGGACAAAATGCTACACATGACTACATGGAGTTATTCAATTTGAGACATTCTTGTCTAAGAAATGCAATAAAGCGCATATTTGGTGTACTTAAGAAGCGTTTTGGTATGCTTTCAGAGCATACCCAATAAAAAAAAGTCGAATTAGTTATTTTAATGTGTTTCTTATATAATTTTATTCTTATACATTTGAAAGTGATGACTGGCCCTTTGGGGAGTATGACAAGGAAAATCATGATCAAGTACATCGACCAGAGAATTTGAAGAAGAAAGCGCAACTAATCTACGTGATGCGAGTAGTTGATTGCGAGATAGCATTACACATGATATTTGGGTTGATTATTGTAACAGAAGAAGCTAGATTGTTGGTTGGTTGATGATATTATGCTAGTTCATATAGTTATATTTTTTTTACACATGGGATTATGTATTTTTTTTTTTTTTAAAATAACTTCTTTACTATTAGCTCAGTTTGGGATCATGTCTTTACATTGATTTTCTAATGGAGCATGTTTCTTCTATGGAGTGCCAATAAATTTACAATTCAAAATAATGAAAATCTTTGTTTTTTTTAAACCCATAGCATCCTTATAAAGAGCAAGAGAGAGATTCAATAATATTAAAGATTTAGTTATCTAATAATTCAGTGCGAGATTCAAATTTTGTCAAATGATTAAAATAAATCTTTGCATAAGTTGGCAGACTCAAAAACTTGTGGCCTACCACCCCAAACTAAACCTACGTCCAATCACTTGGTTACACTCAGCCAATGAACCCTTTCTCCCCTAAACTAAACCAAAAATTATCACTTACTCCGTATGACGAAAACTCAGACGAAATAACTAAAAAAAAAAAAGAAAAGAAAGAAAGAAAGAGATGGATGGAATTTATAAAAGATGGACTATGTGATAAAGCACGGTGTATATATTTCAAATTTTTATTTTTTTTCACCGACAAGATCACTTACGATGTCTAATTACAAATAAATTTCCCTTAAAATAAAATAAATTAATAAAGTAAAAATCGGTATTCATTTGCTACCACCTAAAAACAAATGTTCATGCAATAATAAAAAACCTAGACGTTTTGCTTTATGAGAAAAAAAGAACATAACGTAAACAAGTCTTTAAATGAATAAAATTGTCGGAGATTACTTCAACTGGGATTAGTACATCCCACATTGAGTATCCTCCTTTCGATAATGCTCGGGATTTTGAACGGTATTTTGATTTTTTTTGTTTCTTATGGCAAAGCCCAATCAATGCATATAGACCTCTCCTAGAATCAACCGCCTAAAGCTTCAATGCTTTATTCTTATTCAAGCCCCTTGGTCTCTATGGGAGATAAAAATTAAAAAGAGAGAAAAATCTACTAGCTTGGGATATGATTCCCTTTCCTACCCACCAATAGAGAGAGATGACCTAGCCTAGGCGTGCTCCCCTTTGTAACCCAACTATAGAGAGATATGAGAGAGACTAGGTTGGGGTGTGGCCCCCTTTGGGTATGAGAGTGAGAAAGAGAGATAGGCTAGGTTGAGGAGGTTAGCTTTAGCACGAGAGAGAAAATAAACATCGGGTGGGGGCATGCCCCTTAGAGATTTGAGAGAGAGAGAGAGATAATCTTAGAGAGAGAGAGATAATCTTAGAGAGAGAAGAGAGGGAAAAGGTGTCAAGATCATGAGAGGGAAGGATCATTTTTATAATTTTTTCATGCATTAAGGTTTGCCTTTTTAATGTGAGAATCAATCTTGACCATTGATCTATGGAGACTTGTGGGGTTGGATTTTAAAAAAGATGTTAGAATCTTATCCTTTCCTTGCTAAACTTATTCACATCAAATAGTTAAATAAGAAAAATATCTATTTACTTTCTCATTTAGTAAAAAGGTGTGGTTTCTATAAAGTTGCAACCTTAAACAATCCAATTTACACGCACCTTAAAATTTTATCATAACATGTAATTTTGTTGTAAAAAATTCTCAGTATTATCGTAAAATCTATTTTCATACCTAATTAAAAAATTTTAAAATCCAAAAATGGCTAAAATCAGTAGATCTATAAATATATGAAAATCTTGATAATGAACGGTCTAGATAATGTGTTGCAAGATGCACTATTTCTCAGGACTCAAAAACTTGTTTTGCATATTCATACATCTCGATGTCGTGATGATCGATTAGGGTTTTTTCAACATTAAAACAACATTTCCGATAGATTTTTGAGGTGCATCTGTGATTCTACATTTTAAAGTTGCAACCTTATTAAAACTTTTCCCTTTAGTAAATACCTCTTCATTCAATTAAAAAATCTTGATTATCAAGATATCCTAAATTTGATTTATATGCCACCTGTTAATTTCAAACGGTACTTAAATTACATGCCTTGAATAAAAAAGCTTAAAACCAATGGTTTTAAAAATAGATCGGTGCCCTGGATCGGGCACCCAAAAAACTAACACGGATCGGTGAATCGGATTGGGAATCGACCGAATTGGTCGAATAAGCTTTAAAAAAAATCCAAAAAACTTATTAAAATTCATTATAAATATTGTTTTTTAGGAATCCAATAAGAAATCAGGGAACTACATTATTAATTTTACTTTTTTTCATCAATATGTGAATATTGAGATGTTTTTTCCTTGTATGAACTTATTTAAACTATTAAATTTACATCACACAAAAGAAAAATCATAGAATTATCATGGATGAAGTATATAATCATACATGGACTACAATAAAGAATGGTTTAAATTGATGAAAAATAGCCGCAAAAATCTTGAATTGGTGGAAAACATTATATACTAAAATTGAAATTGTTGGTTTACATTTTATAATTATTTTATTATATAAATAATAACAAATCCAACCTTTTATTTTTTTGACAAGAAATACTTATTGTATTACCTTTGCTATTTTTTTTTGACAAAAACATTTTATTTCTTATGACAATAATATTTTATTTTGACAACAAAAATAAATTTTGTTGTATCACGTTCTTTTTTTTTTTTATTTTTTTTATTTTATAAGAGCCTATTATTTTTTTTTTTTTTTTACAAAAAACTTTTGTTTTTTTGTATAAAAAAATTATTTTATAAAAAAAATTTTTTATTTGTTTGTGAGGGAAGGATGAAACCTAGTTAGGAGTTGATCTCGCGACGTCTAAAGTAGTAAATGACGCGCTAACAACCACGTCAAACATTCATTTGTAATATTGGTAAGCCCCTTAATAATTATATTATATCTCTTTCTCAGCTATTACCTTACCACAATTATTCCACATTGAACCCACAGAAAAAATCTCATGAGAATAAATAATATTATGTTAACGTTACCATTCGCGTGCAAAACGCATATAGTAATGTGGGACCTGTGACGAGGGACACGTGCCGTTTAACAGTAAATGCTCATTTTAACCCAAAAAATTGATAGTGGATAAAAGACAAAATTGATAGTGGATAAAAGACTAAAGCAAATTTCTAAGCCAAAAAACAAAGCATAATGGACACCTTCAACAAGCCACTTCCTAAAACCCAAGCTAAGTGAATAAGTTATAATCATTTAAATAACAATTACAACTATTTCTAGCTTTGTATAACCACGGAAAATAAAATCAAATACCAACCCCTTATGGGGCAATAACATATAAAGAAAGACTAGCTTATGAATTACACTTTCATAGCACAAATTACATAAGCTATGTCCCAAAGTTATAAAACAAGACTAGCCTATGAATTACACTTTCATGGCATAAATTATATAAACCATATCCCAAAGCTTAAATACATCACGCAACTAATCTAAACAAAATTTTAAGGAATAAAATAAATTAAACAGGGAATTAGAATGCCAAATTAAAATAGGGAAGCCATGTTTCGAACCCCTTGTGCCGGGGCGACGCAATCGGGCCCTATGAGGACTTAATTTTGTTTATTCGGATTGTAGAAAAGTGGTTCAATCTCACAAGAGTGTCTAATCTAAATAGGAAGCAATTATACACATTAAAATCACTTCTTAAGATCTCAACATACTGGCATTATCATCCAAAATAGAATGCAAAAGGTTTGAATCGAATCGGATAAAAAACAAGAGAGTTAAGGTCAAACTACACACAGTCGCCACCAAAACAGTATTGTGTAGAAAGATTATGAACCCCCATAGATAAAAACGTGATGAAAAAGTTCTGAAAATTGAGTGATACTCTGAAACTAAATTATTTGATGGATTTGAAGCAAAGTAATCAATGGATACTATGCATGATGATGAATTCTCATGCATTAAGGCTATAACTTATGAAGGATCACACTATGAATAAGCATGATGAAAAAAATGATCAAATGGGGATCCTAATATCAATGAAACATTTCTAAATTCAAACCTCTAGCAACTATAGATGCCAAGAATATGATCTTATAAGAAAAAAAAATTCAATGGAGTTTACCTTGATGAATGCACACTATGGACTTAAGCATAAGAAAGGAGGACTGCTATCAAGATCACCATTAATGGAGCTCTAAAAACTCTCATTCTTCAATTTTCTCTCACAAAACCTTAGAAGAAGGAGGGGAGCAACAATTTTCTAAAATGGTTCAAGAGTTGAGATAGTTCGGGTTTGAGATCACTATGTGCTTTTATAACATGGGTGTAACTTTGGACTCAATCAACACCCTTGATGCACTAATCCAAATGCACATGAGATGCTAATGTACATAGCCACCCATCACCATCCAAGCACTAGGATGAATGGATTGAATTTCACACCATTGTCACTCACCCTAGCCCTAAGTTATGCCACTTTACTATTTTGTCCTTGGCCCATGTTTTTGTTCTAATTGTATCCACTATGGCCTCACAAAAATACCTTAGTTTTTTTAATAATGTATTAGAGTAGATAACCACAAAGGCTAAAGGGCAAAGAAGTAATTGGAAAAGTTCACACATGTGGAGATATTTTTCTTTATCAAAGCCAATCACTTTGTAGATTTAAAACTTGAAACCAATCAATTTAAAGATAATGTCCCCTTCACACAAGGGTGTGAAGATATTTTTCAACTCAAATTTGAAAATGCATTTTCTATTTAATATCAAATAAATAAATTAATTAAACTTCACACATGCCATTTAAGATCCATGTGTGAGTTAATTAAGACATGTGATAAAAATGGGGCCCTAATTTATAACATTATATAATAAAATATAACAATATATAACAAGACACCATAACACAACCCCCCCGTATAAAACAAGCAACCAAGTGCCAATCTAGTCCCCCACCTAGGGATCAATGCTCAGCTGGGCGGTGATCCTAAAGTGAGGCATGGGCTGCCACATGGCAGCCCTATGGCCACGGACACCACATGCCACTATCAGGTTAGGACTAAAGTGGAATTTGAGTCAAACAATTTGAAAACCCTCAATTTCTTTTAGCAAATAAATTTTAAAAATTTCTCTAAAATTCACAATAAATATTTA